AGTCGGAAAGTCAAGTTTTTACTTTCTATATAAAAGAATTTGAAATTTTTAATTTTTAATCGTGTAGTGATTTCTGCAGATCTTATTTTTTTTTGTAACACTAGGGCGGTAAAAGTATCTGCCTTGCCGCTTGAAACAGAGATAATTTTCGCCAATTCTAAGTCTGCGCTTTAATTTCGTCTGGAGCTATGAGAGTGTTATTACTGCACACTTCACTTCACTACATTTATTCAAGAACGTTGATATTCAAATCCATTTCCCTAACTTGCATAGTGATCCCTCTAGTAATAGTTTACTTTAAGATATTTTAACAATCAAAAATTTAAAAAAATGAGATTAAGTTGGGAAAGAGACATTTTTTTACAAAAATTAAAAAAAGTTCCAGTTAGTAACAAGCAGATACCACTGAGTTAGTAGCAAGCAGGTACCACTGTTAGTAGCAAGCAACCGGAAAAGTTCTTATTCTCACAATCGGACAACTAGACCATAAATTTTAACTGAGCAAAACATTTAAGAAATTATTATTAAGTGCTTGAAAAAAAGCAACTTGCTCGCCAAATAAACTATTTTATCCACGAGTGTAAATTCTTGAAGTGTTTGGCATTTATGTTCAGTTTATCGGCCAAATTCGTGGCATATTTCTGGAAATAAAACCAAACTTTTGAGAGATAAGGATACCCTCAATGGTTTTTATCATTGCTGATGATTTACCACTGATAAAACAAAAACCAGCAGTTCAAAAAAATGACCTGGATATAACAGCACCCCTCTTTCCAACCGCCTGTCGAAGGGCCATATTTGTTGCAATCGCTTCACTGATACCGTATAAGTTCTTCGTATCGTAAAATATATTTGAACGATTGTTAGTCTTCGCATACATGCACAGTGTTTTCGAGCAAAGATTCTAAATTTCATAGAATCAATTAAAAAATTTTTATGGCGAAAAATTGTCGATGCAATAGAAAACATAAGCAAACGGTCAATATTGGTTTAAAAAGAGCATACTAGCTAAATTCATCGCGTGAGTTACGATTATTTATTCATACATTTGTATTCATTTGAATAACAAATCAAAAAATTAATTACTATTTGTCAATTATTGACTGATTATTCATCAAGAAATTATTTGTTAATGATTTATTAATTATTCGAAACTTGTGTTTACACCTAATTTACTACTTACTGATATATTTGAGAACCCGAATAAAAGGAGACGAAATGAACGCAAGGTTATATAATGAAGCAAAGGTGAAGATTGCAGGTAAAGTGGCCAACAGTACCGCTTATTCCAAGTACACTTATTGATCAT